CAAACTGCAAGGCAAGTAACAGCCAGCCGCAGGGAGCACTGCCTGGGCCAGTGCTGTCTGGGCACCATCTCAGGGAACCCTCCCAAAATACCACGGGGTAGGAGCTGTTGTCCTGACTACTTTACAGGAAAGAGGCAGAGGCTCAGAGAAGGTAAGGGACTTTCTGGAAATCACAAAGCAAGGCAGCAATGTCTGCCTGATCCCAGAGGTCCTTCACCCCTCTGTGCCAGATGTCAGAGCAGCTGCCATTTATGGGGCACTTATGTCAAAATCCCCCAGCAACCACCCCTGCAAAGGAGCAGAACCAGGGCCATCCACTGCACCTCCCCCCCGGGTGGGGGAGGGCCCTGCTCCATTCCACCTTGCCCACCTCATAAGGGTTTTGAGGGCAGTTTGGCCTCAGTCTGTCCATCTGCAAAAGGGACTTGATCACCCCAGCCTCTACCCTGTCAAAGAGGTATAAAGAACAAAGAGGGTCAGTGGCCCGGACGATTTCGTGCTCTGACTCTGAAGCCCGGCCCAAGGACCTGAAGCACCCAGAGCAGAGCCAGCCCCTCCCCAGGAAGCCATGAGCTTGCAGATGCGGCTGCTTCTGAACGCAGGCCCCTGCAGAGCCTAGCTCCCTCCGGTCTTCACGTCTTCACCATCCGCTGCTAATAACGACATCAATCAGGCTGACCACGTTTCACACCATTACTCGCAGCTCAGCAGGAAGCAACATATTTCCCCCCTTACCCACCATCTTCCAGAAAGCAAAGAGCTTTCCAGAGGGGAAAAGAATGAAACCGATATGTTTTCTGAGTACCTACTGTGTGCATGGCAGCTGCCTAAGCCCTTTTTCTAACTCTGAGAGGTAAGGAAGACTCTTTTTCTTTGACAGGGAACGACACTGGGGTCCAGAGGAGCGAATGCATGTGTCCAAGGTCACACACAGCCGGGACAAGTACAATCGTGGCAGTGATGTATTACTGGCCACTCACTGGCTCATGGTGCCAGGCACGTGCGTGATCCTATTGAAACAGTATCATTTTCGTTTTCAGATAAGGAGACTGAGGCCTGAAGCAGTGAAGAGACCTGTCTGAGGTCACGGGCTGCTTAAACGTGAGGAGCAGAGTGACATAGGGCGGAGAGGGTGGCTCTCTGCTCCGGCAAAAGAGCGCATGAATCTTGGTGCTGTCACTGACCAGCTTAGAGACCTCTCTGAGCCTCAGTTTCCTCATCAGAAAAAGGGGCTCATAAAAACATCTATCCCATTTTGTAGGATAAAAATAAGAAGGATAAAAACCGTAAAACAGCTAACGGTTATCGATCGCTGAACACGCACCAGGCAACTTTGCCAAGCACTTGACATATGTAAGCTCGCTGGGTTTAATGAGGTTATGCATATAAACTGCTCAGCACAGAACTCCAGAAAGGGGACTCATCATGGTGACGATGAAGAAGTCTCCCTGGTTCATCCTCTTACTGGAAGAATAGAGTAGCCTGTAAGCTTTCAGGAAGGAGGTGGACCAGGAAGGAAGGGCAGGGTCTGGACAGGGGAGGGAAAAGAGAAACACATAAAAATTAGGGTGTGAATAGCATTAGTAATGTTAAGATGATATGCCAAGTAGGGAGAAAGCAAGGCACCCAAGACGTTCTACAGAGTGGAACTAGACTGAGACACACGGAAACCTCCAGGCCAGTCCAGACATCCTCCCAGGGTCCCAGATGGGCAGAGCTGGCAGGACCCTAGAGACACAGACCAATGGTTCTTCCCATTTTACAGATGGGGAAAAACCAAGGCTTGCAGTAGGGAAAAGAGTTGTCCAAGTTCACAGGATGTCAGTGGCAGAGGCAGGCTTGAATCCAGGCCTCCTGACTCTTAGCTCCATGCCCAACTACCTGCTGCTTCCCACAAAGGAAGAGTGCAGGAGGGCATTTGGATATGTCTGGGTCACAATTCCAGGGAAGCATACCAGGGTACACATCATTAAGATAATCAAAATCAAAAACTATAGTTTATTGAATGCTCACCCTGTGCCTGGCACAGTGCTAAGCTCATCTGCATTAAGCTACATGCATTTCATCCTCACAACAACCCTAAGACTTGGGAACTGTTTCTATCATCTCTATTTAACAGATGACAAAACTGTGGCTCAGAGAGGCTAAGCAACTTGCTTAAGATCACACAGCTAGGAAGTGACAGAGCCGGGGCTCAAACCCACGTCTGTCCTGTCAAACCCCAGAGCCTTGTCTCCTTTACTTGTCCACCTGAACGGTCCAGCCCCCACCTGCTTCTCCCACCCTCCAGTGCACCCTCACATCCTACTCCCTCACCCAAAGCAAGTCTACCCCAACTACAGAACAGTGTTCAGAACTGGCCTGTTATCTTGTAATCATCAAGCCCCACACAAGAAAGAAAAACGACATAGTTCCTCTTCTAAAGTTTTCAGCTGAGAAACATTTAACAGTCTCTTCCTTCTCTGCGCCTGTCCACTGGATGAGAAAACAGGCTCCCTTCTCCCTGGAATGATGTCAGGCTGGTGAATTCCAGCAGCCGGGAGCACATTGCCAAAGCTGCCAGGCAGCGAAGGCTCCTGGGGGTTAGCGACAGCTGAAGGGACCCACTCTGCAATCGGACCAGACAGAGCAACAGACTCAAGAGACCAATTTTCAAGTCCCTCCTCAGAGCACCTCCCCAAGTTATGTCATGTAACCCTCACAAGCTGCCCAAAGGCACCCAGCCAGGATGTAGAAGGATCAGAATCCCACCCAGGTCTTGTCTAATTCCAGAGCCCCTTGTGCTGGTGAGCCCTCTAAGTGGAAGCGTGGCTTTAGCTGAGCTGGGGAGAGCTATGGAGGCAGGTAAGTGAGAGGCAGGGACACTGTCTCGCCACCTTCATCTCTCTAGAGTAGGAAGCACCTCCCAAGGGACCCCTGAGTCACCAGAGCCAGAACTACTTTTACAGTTAAGAAGGTAACAGAGGACGCTGGTCAGCTGTCTGGCTTCACAGCCTGGCCCCTAACTGTAGAACTTTGGGCAAGCTACTTCATAGGGTCGTTAGGATTAAATGAGTTAATTCATGGAAAAGTGCTTACAGAGTACCTAGCACCTAGTAAATGCTCCCCAAAGCTAACCACTGTTATTATCATCAACAGAGAATGACCGTGGGCCAAACTGTTAATAGTGCTTACCTTTGGGGTATGGGACTGGGCATAGAAGGAAACGTCTTTAACTTCTGCTCTGTTTGGTTATTTATTGATTTAATCGTTTTATAATATGTGTGTGTTACTTTTCTAATTAAAAAAAAAGTCCTAGTTTAAAATTTTAAAATTAACACAGAAAAAAAAATTCCTCAGAAAATTTCAGCACTTCTTGGCATTTTATGTTCCTCAAAGGAGATAAAGAGGAACTGGGAGCCTGGAGTTGCCAAATAACTGATTCACTCATTTATTTTACAAATATTAATGGAGTGCCAGGCACTGTTCCAGCTGCCGGGGATTTAGGGGGAACAAGGAAGATAATCTCTGCCCTTCTGGAGTTTCCATTCTACCTGATCTTAATTAATCCCCTGTGCCACACTCAAGGACGAGGAATTCACCGAGAGGCCGACCAAGATGGCCCAGCCCGGGGAAGTCACTTGCCCTGCAGCCCACAGCTGGGAGCAGGGCTACAATCTTCAGGGCCCAGCTGTTTCAACCGCTGCCCAAGAGGGCAGGTCTGTGGATGCAAGTTTGGGGCTGGGATCCACAAGAGGAGAGAAAAAAGATGAACGAGGAGGTCTGTATAGCCACACTCAAAGCTTCATTCTGCATTACTGTACACACCTGTGGTGGAGGACGGGCAATGGATGCAGGCGAACGTGGAGACCCAGACCATGGAGTCAGGCAGTAGTGAGGCTCAGGTTCCCCCAACTCAGCCTCAGACCTGAGTTCCGTCCATGGAGGTCCCCATGCACCTCTGCCCCCAAAGTCCCCAGTTGTTGGGCCTCAGCTCTAGGGTAGGCAGGAGATCCTGGCCTCTCCTTAAACACCTTCCCAAATTCACCTGCCAGAGTCTGAATTGAAGGGCAGAGCTGGTCCCCTTCGGCCCCCAAATTCACTCCACTGGCCTCCCTGACACAAGAACCTGAGTTCCCTGGGCTGGGATTAGGTATAGTGTCCCCAGATGCTCCCCTCCTCCCCAGGGCACCCAAGTATCCCACCCCTATCAGTGCCAGCCCAGGCAGGGGAGCCTGCCTCCCCCCACCCCCACTCTGGTGGCAATGGTGACTGACAGAATGCCTGTGGCCTCAGCCAAAGCAGGGAGGGCGATCCCCACCTGGTTGGTCAGACTGGCCCAGGACCTGGTAGCTCCTTGTGACCCTCTCCAGGGAGGGGCTCTCCATTCCCAGGCCTGCCCAGTCAGGAGGATAGAGGGAGGCAGGAAGAGCACAAAGGAGTGAACGGTTCCTGGAGTCTATGATCCCGACACACACAAATGAACATGGACCAGAAATGGTCAGAGATCTAGAGACATACCAAGGAGAAACCAGGAGAGAGACACACACAGGAGCAGAGACTTTGTGAGAAACACTGAGGCGGAGACCAGAGGCTGAGACCCACGCAAACGAGTGATCTAGAGGAAAACACACGGCAGTGACCTCAACGGATCCACACACCAGCCTCGGAAACACCCCCAAACCCCGGCGAGCCACAGTCCCACAGCGCATCTCCCCAACAGAAGGCCGCTCGTACAGTGCGGGCGAGACGCGCCGAGCCCCAGGCGCGGAGCGGGCCGGGGGGACTCGCGCACAGGACGCACTCGGGGACTGGGGAGCGCCGGGCGAGAAGCGCACACAAAGAGACAGCCGGGCCAGCCCGAGCAGGCTCCGCCCGTCCGCTTCGTGACTCCAGACCACCCCCCAACCCGGGCGCTCGCCCCAGACCCACACACAGAGACACACACCCCACCCGCACGCCCCGGGACCCCGCCCCGCCGCACCCCACCCGGCCCGGCCGCCCGGGCGCGCGGCGCTCACCAGCTGCAGGCAGCAGAAGGCGACCAGCGTGCAGCGCCCGCTGCACTTGCCCATGGCTCTGGGGGCCGCGCGCGCCGTTCGCCGCGGCGCCCCTCTAGCTCGGCGGCCGCCGCCTCCTCCGCGCCGCGCGGGCTCCGCGTCCTCCCAGCTGGGCGCCCCGGGCGGCGGGGCCGGGCGCCTAGGGCCGGGACCGGGAGCGCCGGGTCCTCAGGGCTGCGGCCGGCCGCTCGCGCTCGGAGTCCATGGTCAGTCCGCCCGCGCGCCGGCTCTGCCGCGCCTCCTTTGTCTGGCCGGCCGGCCGCCAGGCGCGCCTCCCGCCCCGGGGCGGCTGGCGGGGAGCGCGGAGCGGGGAGCGCAGGCACCGAGAGCGGCGCAGCGCAGAGCAGCACTGCCCAGCAGGGGCAGCCGCCCGGGCGCTCGGCGGCCGCGGCTTCCCGGCCCCACCACGTGGCTCCGCCGCCGAGAGGTAGGGAAGGAGGGAAAGACGGGAGGGAAGAGGAGGGGAGGAGAGGGGTGGGGCGGGGCGGCAGAGCAAGCGGAGGGAGGGGAGAAGGGGGAGGGAAGCGCAGAGCAGAGGCGAGAGGCAGGAGTGAAGTGGGAAGAGTGCAGGCTTGGGGACTGATGGCCCTGGGTCAAACGCAGCTTCACTGCTCACTCGCTGTGTGACCTTGGGCAAATCACGTCACCTCTCTGGGCCTCCGTTTTCCTAACAAAATAGGAATAATAATGACTGCTTCAGTGTTGCCACAAAGATGAAATGCAGTTAGGTGAATAAAAGCACTTAGCTCTGTGCCTGGCCTCCCGAGGGTGCTGGAGCATTCCTCTGTCCACCTTGTCTCTAGGGCCCGGCGGCTCCAACCTTGGCCCTCTATTTCCACTCCACTTCCCAGATCTGCTCCCCATCCCAGCCTGCCTCCTGAGTTCTTCCTTCCCTCTTTTCTTCTACTGGCATTTATTGAGCCCGACTGACTACATACACACCCCTGGGAGCCCTATGATCCAGAGATGAGCCCTGCAGCACTGTTCCAGAACCCACTGAGCTTCCCAGGCCAGGGAACAGGCAACCCCCAGGGGCATAAGCAGGAGATGCCTGATGGCAGCCGTCTGCCCAGGGGGCTGAGGTCAGCCCCTCACCCAGGCTGCAGTGGGGAGTCAGGAAGGGCTTGCCAGTAGAAGACTGCCTTCTTCAAGGCGCCCCCTCCAAAAGCACTCAAGCTCTCAAACACATCCCCAGTCCACTGAATCATCCCAGCCCCACTCCTAACTTCTTATATAGGGATTAGCATCACTCAGGTGGGAATCCCTGCGGCATCCTCCCCGCTCCTCTATCCCATCTGACCTGTCATTACGTTCTGTGAACTTACCTTCCAGCTGTTATCTATGAAATACCTACTACCTACCAGGCTCTCCACTGGGGATTAAGGGGATGAACCAGTCCTGCACTCACTGAGAGAACAGTCTAGTGAGGAATTATCATTAAAACCAGAAAACATGCAAATAAATAATGAAATATTCTGATGAGTACCTTAAAGGATAACAAAAAGTGAAAGAATAAGGGGGCCATAACTCAGGTCCGGAGACCAGGAAAGGCCTCCTTGAGGACATGGCATTGATACTGAGAAGACAGTAGGAGGGAAGGAGAGGCCAAGGCCTGGAGAATAGTGTTCTGGCAGAAGAAACAATGTTTCTTTTCTTTTCCTTCCTCTCAGCTCTCACTGGCCCTCTGGACTCAGAAAACAGTATGACACAGATTAAGACCCATGGTTCTGGACCCAAGCAGCTTGGGTTCCAGTTCCAGCACTGCCACTTATGCGCTGTTTACAGAGTAAGCACTCAAATGCATGATTTCTCCTAGGACTGGTGACATAATTTGTGGGGGCCAGTGCAAAATGAAAACGCAAGACTCCTTAAGGCTCATTAGGAAGGAAGACACAGCAGACCATAAAACCAAGCACAGGGAGGGTCCTGTGTGACTGCAGAGGACACATGCCCCTGAAGCCAGTCGTGTTTTCTCCCTGGACTGTCAGAATGGTCTCTTCACTGGTCTCCCTCCTCCACCCACTTGTCAGCCACCACTTTTATTTTATTTATTTTATTTTTTGCCACTTAGTTGTGCTTTTTTTTTTCTTCTTTAACTGCGTCGTGCGGCATGTGGGATCCTAGTTCCCCAGCCAGGGATCAAACCCGTGCCCCCCGCATTTGAAGCTCTGAGTCTTAACCACTGGACCGCCAGGGAAGTCCCAACCACTTAGTATTTTAAAACACACAGAATATTCGTAGAGTTGAAATTATGGGGGGTGGGATGAATTGGGAGATTGGGATTGACAATATATACACTACTATGTGTAAACTAGATAACTAATGAGAACCTGCTGTATAGCACAGGGAACTCAGTGCTCTGTAGTAACCTAAGTGGGAAGGAAATCTAAAAAAGAGTGGAGATATATATACGTATAACTGACTCACTTTGCTGCACAGCAGAAACTAACACAACATTGTAAAGCAACTATACTCCAATAAAAATTAATTAAAAAATTAAAAAAAAAGAAATTATATGAGCTGAGGTTTTCACCTGGAATAATAAGCCGAGATAACAGTGGGAACATTTCTCAGCCATGCTTGGCGAGTAACAGCTGTGTCCAACCAGTTTCCATGACTAGACAGGCCTCCAGGAGTCTGTGAAGTCCCTGAAATAATATGCAAATCTTCATCTGAGCAGATGTGTCATTTTCTGGGGAGAGGGTCCACAGGTTTCATCAGATTCTCCAAAGTATATTTCCCACAAAAGAATAAGAACCAGCCCCACAAAGTCTCAGCCCAGATGTAACAGTTCTCTAGGAGATCCTCTTTAGGCCTTTTCCACACAGAGCGTCTGCCAGTTCCCTCTGTGACACTAACAATGCAATTCAGTAATAATAACCATCATGGCTCCCATTTATTGAGTGCTTACTCTGAGCCAGGTACTTGGCATACACTATCTCATTTAATCCTAAAAACAGTGGATTCCCCTGGAGCTGTGACCTGCGTTTGCCAGGCTGTTGGCTGTCAGCCATCATGCCTGTGACACCCTGTTCCAGGGCCAGGCTGACTCACTCTTAAGTTTGTCCTATGGGACCAGGGATGATGGCCTGACATCAGCAGAACTAGCCTCTGCCCCTGGGTCATTCCGTTTAGTCCAAGTCTTGCCCACACCACACACACACACAGCATGCCATCTCTCACTTCCATGATCTGCACATGTAGTTCTGTCTAGAATGCATCTCCCATCCAAATTTTCAGCCTGGAGGCCTCCTATTCAAATTTCAAATCTCAGCTCACCTGTCACTTCCCCCACCCAACCCAGACCTTCCTTAACACTCTGTGACCTCAGCACCCTCCTCTGGGATCACATGTGGTCTGTGTTATCTCCATGAGAGATTTTACTGGGATTTACTGTCCTTGTCTGATTTTGTTGCCCCAATAGACTGAGCTCTATGAAGACAGTGACTGTGTCATAAATTATCTCTATATCCCACAGGACTTGGATCACGTCAGGAGTCAACAAATACGCGGTGAATGAATGATCTTCCTGCCTTGGGCCCTAGCATACCTTGTGCTCTCTTTACCACGGGGAGGTCCAGGATGCTAAGGGGGAAGGCAATCTAACTATAGGAAGAGATAGAAACATCTTTGGCAAGAAATTGGGAATGTTAGGAGCTGAGGATGATGGCAGGAGGGGCTTGTAGTAGTCAACACAAAAGATGACTAACCCTTGGACTAGGGAAAGGATGTGGGGGAATGAAGCAGGATTTAGAAATAAAGGACAGAGATGATTCAGAACATTCCCACGCTTCCTGAGTAAGAAGGCAGGATCGTGGTCAGCCCTAGAGAGAGGCACATTCGGAGCTGCTGAAGTGAGGAAATTTCTGAGCTGTTACGTCCTTCCCTCGCCCTAAGCCAAGCCTAGTCACCATGTCTGAATCTTCCACCATTTAGTCTCTCTCTGGGTTAAAACACTAAAAGCTTCTGAGAAAGTTCACTCATAAGATAGCAGAAATGTTAAACCTATTAATTTCTCCTTCCAAGTTAGAGGACTGAACGTGCTCCCTAATTATAGTTTGTGGGGTGTTTTCTGACACCAACCAATTCTCCAACACCAGCTGGTTGTCCAACAATTCAATTCAATTCAATGCGGACACTACCCAGAGTTGGCGCAGACCCACAGCTTAAAGGTTCAGTTCCACAAGGCTGCCTCTCCTTCAGATGCTAGTTGCAAATCTCCAGCCAGCCCTACTTTTGACCAACCAGCTATAAATCAGGGGTCCCCATGACCTCCTCCTCAGGTTGGATAATTTGTTTGTGAACAGCTCACAGAACCCAGGAAGGTAGGTTACTTACATTTACTGGCTTATTATAAAGGATACAAATGAATAGCCAGACAAAGAGGTCTGTAGGGTGAGGTCTGGGCACTTCTGTCTCTGTGGAGTAGGGGTGTACAACCCTCCCAGCTGGTTCACCTACCTGGAAGCTGCTCTGGATCTCATTGTTCTAGAGCTGTTAAAAAGCTTGGTCACCAGCTACCACCCCTCCTCCCTGGAGCTCAGTAGGAGGGGCTAAAAGGTTCGTCTCTAATCACTTGGTCTTTCTGGTGACCAGTCCCATCCTGAGTCTGTTGAGGGGTCTCGTCCTAAGTCATCTCATTAGAATAAACTCAGGTGTGATCAAAAGGGACGCATGAATAACAAGAGACACGCCTGTCACTGAGGACACTCCCAGAGTTTTAGGAGCTCTGTGCCAAGACTAGGGACAAAGACCTCATTATATCACAGTAGCTAACACCTCTGAAGCATTCTGTGCCAGGCACCGTTCTGAGCAACTTCTACGCATTAACGCGTTAAATCTCACAGGAGCCCGCTGAGGTGGGTACTGTTATCACCACCGGCAGTTTCTAGGAGACGGAACTGAGGCTCAGAGAGGTTAGATCATGTGCCTGGGGTCATACAACAAGGAAGTAGCAGAATCAGGATTTGAATCCAGGCAGAACTACCTATACCATTCCTACTGCATTCCTTACGGTTTTTGAACTTTAATTTTTTTAGCAGCAAACGCTTCTCTTCAAAAGAAATCATATATTTCTAAAACTGAAAAAATGTTGGACCACTCTGGTTTTGTGGAGCAAGAGGACTGGGAACCTGCTGTCTCAGTCTGCCCCTGCATCCTGTGAAGATCAGCCCCTCAAGCCAAAGTCCCTCAGGAACAAAGTGAAAAAGCCACTGGCCTAGATGATCTGCAAAGTGCCTTTTCTGAAGAGGCGCGAGATAAAGAAAGGGAGAACCTGAATGGCAGAGAGGTTGAGTGAGTTCTGTAATGTCACACAGCACGTTAGGGCAGAGCTGGTTCTCAAGACCTCCGGGTAAATTCCATTACTGTGTCAGGCACTGAGCTAGGAGCTTTGGAACCAAAGATGGAAAGGATAGGTGC